TTGTCCAAATACCCACACTTGCAGTCTTTGCACTTGACCACTTGATTACTTATATGACGTATTTCCTGTATTTGGTTCAAGTGTTCAAGTGAGCATGAAGACCACAAGTGTGTGTAGAACTTTTAATTACTTGATGGGACACACTTGTAGTGTTGTAAAAATGCAATTGTTTACATAGCTTTATTTTAATTTTAATTTGAAATACTTTGCATTTTAAAATAAACTTCTAAATGTCTGTTCAGTAGTCCCTATAACATGACAATTTTAATTAATTGGTGCTTCTAATTAAGTGATAAAAAGCAGTTGCAAATGTTGTACAAAATAAATATCACCACTACTCATCTCTGCACCAATAAAACGTAAAAACAGTGTTCTCTACCAAATTATATGTAATATCTAATTATTATATTAATATTTAACTTGCATTGGAAAGGTTTCCGTGAACTCTCGCGAGATCTCGGCAAAAAGTCTCACGATTTATTTCCAGAACATGATGCATGATGGGATACACTAAGCCTCGAATAGCGCTCCGGAGCGGTATTCGAGAGAGTCCACTGAGTCACTGAGTCCCTGAGTCCACTGAGTCCACTGAGTCCCTGAGTCCACTGAGTCACTGAGTCCCTGAGTCCCTGAGTCACCGAGTCACCGAGTCCCCGAGTCCCCGAGTCACCGAGTCCCCGAGTCCCCGAGTCACTGAGTCACTGAGTCACTGAGTCCCTGAGTCACTGAGTCCCTGAGTCCCTGAGTCCCTGGCATGTTATTCATAATTATGTGTTGTGGCTGGGTTGTTATAGGTCTGCGTGACTCTCGATGTCTCAAAAGTGGCAGTATGTATATATATATGTATATGTATGCGTGTGTATATATATTTCCCCCATTTGCTTGTTTAGAGTCAAAAACACAAAAATGATCTTTATAATAATAATAATAATAAAAGCATCTGAGATTTTTTTCTTATTATTTATGTTTTTGTTTCATTTGCTTCTGTTATCAGCCAAAAAGCACAAAATGATCTTTATAATAATAACAGAATCTGATTTTTAAAATTATTTTTTATTATTTTTAATTTGAGTCTGTTATCAGCCAAAAAAAAATAAAAATAAAATCTTAATAATCATAAAAGCATCTGATATGTATTTATTTTTCTTTATTGTTCCCCC